CACGAGAAAAATCGTTTCTGATATTAGCTCTTATGATAAACTGACACCCTTAAAGATAGCAAGTGAGACATTTTTGGGTCAAAGAATGGTCTCGACAGAGAAGGCTTCAGATATGGGCTGCAAAATTGGTTTGGCCAACGTAGACACCAACAAGTGGCCGTGTCACGGCGGCCTTACTGAGGTTGTACCACCCACAGTGAAGCGTTAGGACGTCGACAAATATTACTATTACGTTGGAAGCACCCAGACTGCCACAGACATATAGTCTCGTACAGCCCCCTTCCATACTAATTTTTGGAAGCCTTATATTTACTGCTTTCCTGATGTTCTGCTGGTTATTTTTGCACCACTTTTTCTAGGGAAAGATGGGTCTTCCCGAATGGACGGTTGATAAAATTGAAACGAAACGTCAATTCAACAAATATATGTTCTACAGGGTGGAGGTGGTGTAGTGGCAAATGATGTACTCCACATAGGCACGGTCACGGGTTTGAATTCCGGATCGATAACTGCCTAGGCAAACCAAGCCTTCCATCCCTCCGGGGTTGGATTATTGGTATCAGACTCGTTTGGGAGGATAAAAGCACTGACTTGTACATCGGCTGGTCACCGCAAGTCATCGTACAGGCCACATAAGCGTTCATTACGCCACTACGATTCTGAATGGAAGTCGAGTGCGGGGGCGCATCCTTCAGACGGGATTGATTAACGCCCCAGATTTTATCCCAGTTTCTATGTATTCCTGCCCAATTCCTTTATCCATTATTCTTCGTAGGTACACGGATTTACAGCCTCCAGACAGTCTCTAGATCAATTCAACTTCCATAATTGTTCCCGAAGGACCACTTTAATCTCGTCACCAAACATCCATGGACTAGGTCAAACTGAGCAGTAACGAAAGATCTAGATAACATTTGGCATCATGAAAAAAGAGTCATAAAGCGACAGGAGCGTCATAAAGACTTGGTAAACCAGTTAGACAGTCTGAGTCATCAATGTTGAAACTGTTTATAAAGCTTTTTCCATCCAAATTCTGCTGATGAATCAGGCCACCGTGATTAGAAATAGCTAACTTTCTGAAATCTAGGTGATAGCAACAGTACTGTCACCACATAGGCGGTTTACGGTCGAACAACCGATTAGCTAAACTTTCTATCTTCGAGAGGTCGATTAAGTCTTGTCAGATCCGCCTGTAGGGAACCTTTTAGATCGGTCTACACTCCCAAACTAATGTGGAAAGCGAGTATGACCCAAATTTCACTGAATTTCCACCTGTAGATCGTAGTCATGGTGCATCGCGGAAAAGTACTGGTAAAGACAATTTATTTCGGAATGGGAGTTGCGAAGTAGGAGGACGGGTCATCTGATGCCCACAATATCTGTGTAACCGAATCTACTCAAGTCAATGTGCCAAATCGAACTGCTCCCCTACTTCTAATACAAATCGAGTGAGCGGCTCCTCACAAAGGATTCAACCTAAAAGTCCTACTCTATTTCCGAAATTCCAATTACCAGTTACCCTGGGCAATTCAGGCTCACTATACTGTAAGACTTCTTCGGCATGAGTAAAAAGCCCTTCACCTTGGGTGAGATTGGTACTATTATGATTAGATTATGTATGCGCTGCTATCACAACGAGTCCTGAGTTGCAAAGCCAGGAGCGCTTCGTTGCGCGCGTCCGTCGAAACTAGGTCACGCCGCAGCCGTCGCATGCGACGGGTCAGTCCGCGATACTTGACGGATGTCGCAGTAGTCAGTGGAGCATACGATTTGCGCTTGGTCCACGGCAGTCAGCCAAAGAGAAGATGACACGGACAAATGCAAATCATTCGCTCCACCGACACTTGGTGGTACTGTAGTGTCGTCTCGAGACCTCAGTGGAGTGCGCCGCGCGCGGAGTGGGTGGGGTGACCTACTTCCGACGAACGCGCGCAACGGACATTCTCTTCCTGAGATTGCTTACACGTTTCTCTATGGCATTATTGGACCTTCCCAAATCCGGTTGGTACTAATTCACTCAGGACCGAGAAAGCCTTATTGATGCCACTTTGCTTCACGAGCTTTCTCGCAATGGGTCACACCTATCTACCGACAGCCACAATGTGGGAAAACAGCCCTTCATAGAGAGCCATGCGAGAGCAATGTGACGCACGAAGGAATGTAGCAGAATGAAGCAGAACACAGAAACAAAAGAAGTAACAGTAGAATCATGCAATAAATAATAACCCCATACCGATAGAGATGAATAAAGAGAGCTGAAAGCAGTAGCGATGCAACTAGCCCGCGGCTGCCGCATGCGGCTAATCGGTTACACGAAAACGGTCCAACTGCCTGTTCTTTCCTTTTAACAGATGATTGACACTCAAAAACAGCATAAGTATGAACTCTTTTGGTGCAAATCAGTCCAACATGGGTTGGATTGCCAGATGGCCAACTAGTGTTACAAGTCAGTACTTTTATCCTCTCATACAAGTCTAAAGCCACGCAGTCGACACCAGAGGAATGGCAAATTTGATTGGTCTAAACATTTATCAGTCTGGGATTCGATCATGTGGCCATGCCTATGATAGTGCGCCACGTGCCTCTACACCTCCACCTTTTCACGTGATAATGCATAGGAAACAGGATTTGTAGCAGTGGAAGTGGTAGGAGAAGTTGGTGAAGTAGGTGATGCCGCTGAGTTCGAAGTGATGACAACCAACAAAAATTGGTTGGACCACCCTTTCCCTTGTAAGGGTCAATCAGTTCTTTATAATCCACTCCACATTATCTACTAGCTAGACCTGGACTTTCACCTTCCTTTAAAGAGAGCTTAGGGACGAATTCAACAATATGTTGACTGTCCCCAACACCGCTAGACCCCCTACATGGGGAATAATGTGAACGAGTTCATGCAAACAATTTCAGATCCATTAAAATATTGCAATCTTTGGCGAATTGCACGTAAAACTTCATTGATAGCCAGTTTTGAAATGATTTTTAAATTTGAAACAATACTGTAAAGTAACTGCCTTAAGTACGTCAACTGGCCAACCGAATTCGTACTTCGCACCCTATTTTACTGCATTTTTTTCTGCTCTTATTGAATTGGTTGCTCTAAATATGCGACCAGACATTCACCTTCATTTTATTAGCGCTGAATAATATAGACTCTGATCTTATTGCTAGGATAAAAATACTTTTGATTTTTTTTGGGGGGCCTTTCTCAGTAAAATTTCTGGCAGCATCATATGATTAAAGTGTGTAGAGGGCGTTCATACTGAGCTACACTAAAAGTCAGAGTCAAAGTAAAAGGTCAAGTAAAGCAGCTTAGAAGCTGCTGCTCCCATGGCCTTGCAAAAACGCCCTCCCACACCCGCACGGCTAATCACCCATAACCCTTTTCTACTCTTCCTTTGCTATTATCGGATTCTGAACTGGTTCATCTACGTCACATAATAGTTGTAGTTCTACTGCACCTAACTAGGCTTGCTTCCAGCATTTACTGTGCCTCAGATTACGAAATTTCGCTTTCTTCATAATTATATGTCTCAATTTACGGGTAGAGGTCGTGTAGTTGCAAGTGACTCGCTATCACACACGCATGGTCACGGGTTCGAATCCCGGACAGAGATCC